CCTGATGGTGACTGTGACCGTTCGGGGGGGGGGCAGCTGCAGCCTAAAGCCGAGCGACGGCGGCGCAAACACGTGCGCGCGCGGGCGGGCGCACACAAACGCACCTTACGCTGCCACCCACGCGCACACATCGGCGCGACCCGAGGAGAGACGGACGGCGACTGGGGCCCTAAGCCGTCCGCCCTTCTGCCGACACATTTGCATATGTCTCAATGCGCAGACGGAGCGGGGAGCATGTGCTGAATGGGGACCGTGGCAAAGTGGATTACACAGTCAGCGCCGGCGATCTGATGACAGACACGCACAATAAACCCCACCCCCCCTCACCCACACCACCACACCCAGCCCTCGCAGATGATAGGCATCGTGAGGAGTGGCCTGAGTGGAAACTTTGAGTTACCGCACAGGAAACGCACCTATCTCCCCCCCGCCTCCCCCCCCCCCCCCCATTCTGCCGTCAATTAAAGTCTTAACTTCAAAACCGTCCCGCCCAAACCTCTCACTTTGCCCGTATGACGACGTCAAAAAAGTGATCCGAGATCTGAGCCCGGGAGGTCGCGCCTCCGGTATTGTGACACTCAAACAGGTCTGATGTAGCCCCGTGAAGCCGTCCTTTGTTCTGCCTGCTGAAATGTGTTGTAATTGTGCTGTGGGATGTCCAGATGGTCGGTTGATAGTGCAGCTGATGGGATTATACCTTTTACCTCTCCCTGGGCCATCTGTTCCCTTTGACTCTCTCCCTCTCTTTCCCTCTCTCGACATCCCTCTGCCGCTCAGCCCTCTCTCTGCCTCTCCTCCTCTCGCTTCTCTCCATCTTTCCTCCCTCTCTTTCTTCCTCTTAGGCCCAGCAGTCTGGATTCACTTGTCTTTATTGCATAAACCCTAACAGCATTACAGCCACTTGGCATGCAAATGAGGCAGGCGCTGCAGGCTCTATGCTGAGTCTCCTATATTGTCTGGGGCTCCATAATAGTGAGCTACGGAACCTGTGTGTGTGCGTGTGTGTGTGTGTGTGTGTGTGTGTGTGTGTGTAATACTATTTGTGAGCATGTTTATGCATCTTTAAGTCTTGAGCGTATACATGTTTGAGTGGCAGGCAACCGCAAAGCGCATTTGTGTCTGCGTGCATAATATGCTTGCTGTGTTGACAGCGTGCACACAAAATTGGGGAGCGAAAAAAAAAGTACCGACAATGGCACTCGGCAGCGCACAGGACCTCCGCCAAGGCCCGACAGCCCTCGTTTGGATCGGCACCAAATTGTTCAGAGATATCCACCTCCTCCGTCGGCCTGGGTTTTGTCAGCAAGATTAATTTTTGGCATTATTGTACCCCACTGGGGGATGCTATGAATTATTTTGGGCAGAATAAAATAATTTTGGGGGGATCATATTCAGTTTTTGTCACTGTAACGATACCTGGTCCAAAAATCGGTAACTCTCGCTTCATGTTTTTTTTTTTCATTTTGCTCATATTTTCCAATTCATTCAGTGCCCTTCGGAAGACAAGTTGAATTTGAGATGCTGTTGGCGGTGATTTGCCCATTTAGCGACATGGGAGACTGAAAATATTAGAAGCAACTCTCAGTGCGATGCAATCAATTTATGTCTCAGTTTTCTGGAAAAATATCAGACTGCAGCGGTATTAGGTTAACTTAAGTTGTGGAGGTGTGCCGTAATGTGGATATGTGCAAAAATCTAATCAAGGCAAACTATATGTCATCACAACCTGATGGGTTTGTGCACGTATACAATCTCATAAGCCATTTTAGGATGCCTGATGCTTCTCTGCCTCAGCCACGCAAGGCTCAGTCACTGTGCCAGCCACATATCTGAGGCTTCTCTCGCCTATAGCGAACTCCAGAGGAAGAATGTGTTGCTATTTTTAAAAAAAAAAAAAAAAACAACAACTTTAAAGCAAAATGCCCGCCCACCAGTGTCACGGCACCTTTTTTTGGACATGGCGGGAGTCTCCCAGAAAACAAAGCGAGCCATCTTTTTTCAGCGCCATTTATATTTGCAGAGAGGGGGGA